GGCACCGCACTAACTGCCACTGCACTGCAGCCCGTCCCTAATGATGTCGCCAATGACGATGTGAAAGAAGGGCGCCCGTAGGCAGAGTGTGTCTAGGGTGTAGTGTGCCCGAAAAAGGTGTCCTGAAAAAGGGGGCTCAGCTAAAAGGTTGTCAGCGACATAGCAACTGTGTGAAAAGAAGTGTCAGTGGACACCACACACTGGTGCCCTCGCTCTCTCTCTCCACAGGAAGTCCTGTTTTGCATGAAAGTGATGATGGCGACGACAAAGCGATATTATAAAATCAACGACTATAATACCGTAACCTATACAGCCACCGAGTCACCACCAGAGGCAAATGTCACTTGGTACAAGACTACAAAGAACAAAGAAGCGGTGAAGAGAACACAGCGACAGACTGACTGACTGATCAGCGGCTGATCAACGCCGACAAAGAAAAGAAGAAAATGTCTGTCGCTGGCAGACGACAAAGACAACTCCTAGTCTCTTAAAGAGAGCTTCTCGGCGTATAAAAGAATAGAATGAAACAACTCTCAAAGTGACAGTCTCTCTTCAGTCTGATCAGCGAGCTTCAGTCGTCAGAATTATGATGTGGGAATAGTGTGCTTTGGCAGGCGGCGGCGGCGGCGGCGGCGGCGGATGATCTCCTTCGCTCATCTCGTCACTCACTCACTCACTCACTCACTTTGGATGGCATCCAATGAAAAAGGCAAAAAAGATGTATCAGTCAGTCGCTCTCCTTTGCACTGTCACTAAAGTCAGTGAGTAAAGAGCAAAAGTTCCGCCCGGCACTGCAGATTACCACTTCGTTACTACAACGTTAAAAAGTGGCAAGTTCTGTTGCTGCTTTTGATGATAATAATCCCCCCTTTTCCGCCCGTCAAAAAAGGACGGTGCTGCTGTTGCCTGGAGCCTCATCTCCAGCCTCCCCATCTATCGCATATTATTTATAATTATGATTAATAATATCGAAGGGCGCCGGCAGACAAAACGAAAGAGAGAGATAGAAAAAAGCGAGCTCTGCGGAATGAGGCCTCACTAAATGGGCCGAAAAGTACACACACACACAACTCAGCGAATGTGAAGGGCTGAATCAACAGAGGCAGCAAAAGAGTAACAGTGAAAGTGAAAAAAGTGAAGTGAAGTCAAGAGAACGGCGACAGACAATGCCGCATTGTGGAAGCTGATGCTGGTGTTGGCTGGTAACGATGGCCATCGCACCAGCCAACCAAGCAAGCAATGCACACACATTGTCAACTGCCACCGTCGGCCGTGCAAGTGCAATTTATGCAGAGTAGCAACACACACACACAGACAGACAAAGAAAAAGAAAAAGAGTACTCGAAAGCCTTCACGAGGTCATAAAGCACGCACTATGGCAGTTCTGCTGACAGATATGGCAGCANAACCAAGCAAGCAATGCACACACATTGTCAACTGCCACCGTCGGCCGTGCAAGTGCAATTTATGCAGAGTAGCAACACACACAGACAAAGAAAAAGAAAAAGAGTACTCGAAAGCCTTCACGAGGTCATAAAGCACGCACTATGGCAGTTCTGCTGACAGATATGGCAGAGGACTAAAGAGTGGTGGTGTAATAACACATTCTTCTGCTTCACTGAAGAGAAGGGCCACTTGGCGTTTCTGTCATCGTAACTCACGACGGTGCAGCTGCTGCTGTTAAAGCAATTTAAAGTGCGCTCTTCCCCTAAAGACTTGAGAGCACGAGAAAGAAAAAGAAAGAATATCGACAGCCAGCATCGCACACTTATGACACCTTAGAGGTAATAAAAAGGAAGGCAGCCAAAACTGCTGCTGCTGCTTCCTCAAATGAAGATGGCAAGAAAGTGTCACAAAGCGGTGGAAAGAAAAAAAGGAAAAGGGAATAGCACAAAATTAAAAAAACGGCACAACTTACCCCAAAGAGCTGCCGCAGATCGGGATCACGAAAGCGAAAGGGAATGTTGCTGACGTGCAGTCGCTTGGGCTGAAAGTTTGATGCGGCGTTCATCAGTCCGGCGTTGGCCATCATCGCCGACTTGATCGCCTCCGCCGAGCAGCTGCTGCTGTTGGTCGACGTAGTCGAGGGGAGTTGCTGCTGCTGCTGCTGCTGACCTCCACTGGGACTAGTGTTGCAGGCGATGCTGGCCGACTTGTGCGACTGTTGAAGAAGTTGCTGCTGCTGCTGCTGATGGGGATTGGTGGTGCCCATGATCACCAGGCCGCCTCCGTTGAGGCCGTAGTGAAGGGTTGTGGCTGGCGGTGAGACCGAGTGCGAAAGCTGCTGCTGCTGTTGTTGTTGTTGCTGATCTGCAAAGGTCGAACTTCCACAGCCGCCGGTGAGGAGCTGCGGTGAGCAGGCGGCGGCGGCTGAAGAGAGCTGCTGCAACTGCTCGTGAGCATCACCAAAAGAGTACTGCTGACTCTGCCCCTGCTGCTGTCCCTGTCCCTGGTCCATGGGACAAGTGTCCGTCTGCGTCTGCTGCTCCACCGAGACGGAGACGACGCTGGCCGTGGAGGTGGCATTCGTTGTTTGAGGAGTACTAAAGCTACTGTTGATGCCGTTGGTCGGTTGCAGATGTTGTGCTGCAGATTGAGATGGCGATAACGATAACGATGCGGGGGTGGTGGTGGTGGTGGAGAGGACAGAAGCGGAGGAGGGTGAAGAGGAGGAAAGTGATGATGATAATGAGCTGCTGGCAAGTGCTTCGGCATTGTGCGCTAGTTCGCCGTTCAGAGCGAGGCTGCCGCCGTTTGTTCCACTGACGCCGACGCCGCCAATTGTGCTCAGTGATTCGGCGGCTGCCACTGCTGCTGCTGAAAAGAGGAAGGAAAGAAGTGGGCAAAGACAAAGAAAGGGCATTAATAACACGCACAATTACAACTACTACTACCCCGCTTTGAGCGGAGACAGCGCTGACAAATCTGTCTGTCCCGCTTTCATCTGTGTGATGTGTTTGAAGAAGGCTTACCGGCGGCGGCGGCGGCGGTAGTCGGTGCGCCCTGGTACACCGCTTTACTGCCGTTGATGCTTGTGCCATTGAGGAGAAAGAGCTGCTCGGATGGAAAACTTGTGCTGCTGCTGCTGCTGCTGTTGGTCAAGTCGGGCAGAATATTCGGGTTCTGCTGATAGGCAGAGATTCCGTTGGTGGTGATGGTGGCGGTGGTGGTCATCGGTGGCGAGGAGGACTGAGAGTGGACTTCGTCAATCACCAAAGAGGATGAGGAAGAAGAGGAGGAGGAGGAAGTGGAAAAGAGCTGCTGAATGGCATTGCTGCTGTCCATTGCAGTCGGCGACGATGAAGACGGCGGCGGCGGTGGCGGTGGAACCGCCGTGGGCAGCGGCGCCGCCAGCACCGAAGAGTGGTGATCGTTGCGCATTTCTGCAGAAAAAGAAAAGTGAAAGGAAAAGGCTTATTAAAAAGTGAAAGCAGGCAATTAACGCAAAAAACACAGTTCCAAATCCACTAACTAACTAACTAAAGGTTAGAGCTAGAGCTCAAGTGCTCACATATTTGTTATCCGACAATGGGCAGCTTCGTGATCTACCGTTTTTCCTTTCCTTTCCTTTCCTTTTCACCCTCGATCAGCGGACAAATCACGCACCAAAAGTATGCCGAAGTGTGTGTGAGTGTGTGCGAGCGCTATCGAATACCTAAGCAAATAGATAGTTTGTGTGTGTGAGCAAACGAAGGAAAGGAAAGGAAAGGAAAGGAGACCAAGGAAGCACTAGAGAGTACCAGTATCGTTCTCTCCAGTGCCCTATGTACCGAAACACTGTGAGACAGTGTAAACAGACCACCACCATCTACACACACACACTGTTATTATTCAATTAATTCAACACGGTTCGGGGCACCACTGCTACACTGCAGCAACACTTCCACCACAACTAGGACACGACAATGGCAATAGCAGCGTCTTTGGAAGTCGCAGCAGCAAACCCGGTGAGTGCGAGTGTGTGTGATTGAGTAGGCGCCGTGAGGCTGCTGCCAGGGAGATATTCAGTATCCGCTCGCACTTTCAGTGCCTTCTTGCCCTCTTCTTCTTCTCCACTGTTGACTTTGCCTTTGGTTACGGGCTGCGAGCAAGATAGCAGAAGAAGAAAGGATCATAGAGTACAGGAGCAGAGGATACACCGAGTCGAGAGGATGATGATTTGGAGAGCACGACGTCTTCGTTACAGCGACGGCTGCTGCTGCTGCTGGCCACAATCAATTAGCTGGAAAATGCCACAAAGTTTTGCAGCAGTGTAGGAGGCAAATAAACACAGCTAGAGAGAAGCATGCAGAGTTGCTGCTGGTGGTGCTAAAGAAGAAGTGCGCGGATGATCACTTCTTCACACATACCATGGTGAGGAAGAGAAGGAGGGCGCATCAATTAGTGCCGCCAAACCGTTGGGTTCTGCTACGGCTGCTGCTGCTGCTGCCACAACATCCTCCCTCTCCTACTTCTTCTTTCTCCTCGCCGCCGCCTGCCAATGAGCCCCAACACAGACAATAAATCGACGACTTATACTTCGATCAAAATAGCGCAGCTGCTGCTGCTGTCGATGCTGATGCTGGCTAAGCTAAAAATAAACACTTTTTCTTCTTCTTCTTCAACTTCAACTTCGGCAGGAGCATCATCAGCTAATATGCTCATAACTCGAACTCTCTTGCCTAAAGTATGAAACTGGAACTCTCCGAGCAGTGCACAGCAGCAGAACAGGAGAAGGAGATGCACTCAATTGTACTGCATTCTGTACAGCAAGAGGGCTGTAAAGTTGGTGAAGTTTTCAAAACTGTGGAGAATGCTGCTGCTGCAGCATTCCAGACGCATCAGAACCAGCTGTCATTAATTCCTCCAGCCAATAGTGCACCACCAGCAGCAGAATCACACACTGCGAGCCAGCAAGTGAGGTTCAATAGCACACACGACAATAGACTGAAAGGAGACTAAAAGGGAAAATATTTTGGATACGAGAAGAATAGGTTCCGACATCTGAGGATGCTGATGCACTTTCTTTTCTTTTTTCTTTCTTTCTTTGACTGTCTGTCTGTCTGGAGGGCAGCAGCAGCAAGCGGGCAAGCACACATCTGGTAAATAAATAAATGATGATCACTGCTGCAAAATGGCTGGCAATTGGCACCACTGTTTGTCTGACTGAATGAGTGTGTGACTGAGGGCAATATATCATCAGAGAGGAAAGAGAAAGAAAGAGAAAAAGACGTAAATGGAGTTCAGATTTAAGAAACGCTGACTGACTGCAGTTCCTCTCAAACACTTTGCTGGGCACATCTAAACAAGCGCAGAGCTGCAAACAGTAAGAATAAGAAAGAGGCAACCAGATCACTTGCTGGTAAAAGGGAGGGAAATGTAAACATCAAAGGAGGAGGAGGAGGAGGAAGAGCAAGAGCAAGTAAACTTGTCAAGCATCTCCGCCGCCGTCTTTGTCAGGCAAAGTGAAAGAGTGAGAGCAAGAGAAACCGAGTAGTGCTCGCAAACATCACAGTCAAGCTAGCTAACTAAAGAAATCACAGTGTGGCTAACGACAACAAAAACTTTTTTCAGAAACGGAAGAGAAAGGTAGAATGCTACACAACTATCATCATCATCAACAACAACGACACGGCTAATCTGAAGTAAACGAGCCTACTCGCTAATTAGCCCGCATCCCATACTGTGCTGGTGAGATAAAAGTTGCAACAACAACAGCAGCTGCAGTGAGAAATAGAACACACTGGAGAAACTAATCAAGTGTCAACAAACATAAACAGTTTTCACATTTAATTTCCCCAGTCCCTCTTACCTTGTTAAAACTATGCGCAGGAATTGGTGGTGGTGATTATGGTGTTGTTGCTGTTGTCGATGCTGCCAGTGTTAGATGCCAAATGAGAAGAGGTAGCTGCCAAACTTTGCTGCTGTTGGGTAGNCCGCATCCCATACTGTGCTGGTGAGATAAAAGTTGCAACAACAACAGCAGCTGCAGTGAGAAATAGAACACACTGGAGAAACTAATCAAGTGTCAACAAACATAAACAGTTTTCACATTTAATTTCCCCAGTCCCTCTTACCTTGTTAAAACTATGCGCAGGAATTGGTGGTGGTGATTATGGTGTTGTTGCTGTTGTCGATGCTGCCAGTGTTAGATGCCAAATGAGAAGAGGTAGCTGCCAAACGTTGCTTCTGTTGGGTATTAGAGGGAAAATGCAATGCAGGAGGAAGAAGATCAAGAAGTGCTGAAGATCATCAGAAGACTGGCTGAAGGAAGTGGTTCGCTGCTCAAGTGGTGAGTATCAGGGTTGTTGTTGTTGTTTTTGCTGGATTTGTTGCTGCCGTGGTAGGAAACCAAGAAGAAGAAGAAGATAAAACCGAAACCAGACCATTGCTCAGGAGGAAGTAGAAGTAGCAGAATCCTGAGCTGTCAGNCAGAAGACTGGCTGAAGGAAGTGGTTCGCTGCTCAAGTGGTGAGTATCAGTGTTGTTGTTGTTGTTTTTGCTGGATTTGTTGCTGCCGTGGTAGGAAACCAAGAAGAAGAAGAAGAAGATAAAAACCGAAACCAGACCATTGCTCAGGAGGAAGTAGAAGAAGCAGAATCCTGAGCTGTCAGAAGAGCTTTGGTGGTAGCTGCTCGATAAAGAAGAAGATCTTCTGGCACTCTGATCGGCCACTGGCGATGCAGAGACTTTGAGACACAAAGGAACACCGAGGGAGAGAGAGACAGACTCTAGAGCAGACAGACGGTGCTGCTGCTGCTGCTGCTGCTGGCCTGGGGCACAAAAGAAATTGTGGTCGTCGTTGTCGTAGTGGTCGTCGTGGTCGCAGTGATCATGTTCCAGATGGAGCAGCCATGCTAATGCCGTCCTGCCTGCCTCCCTTCCAGTCCAATGTCAGCTTCTTCAGGTCTGTGGTGGTGGTCTTCAGTTGTCTTCAGTGTTTCTTGTGCTGTCGCTGCGACTCACTCTCTCCAACTGAGCTGAAGCTGCCAGTGTCGAGGCTGCTGCAAAGTCTGCAGACACTGGCCAAATCTTGCGAAGGCAGCAGCAGTGAGGCAGAAGAAAGGAAAGCGGCGCAAAAGAAAGAAACACTGCTGCAGCGGCTGCACTGGTAGTGAGACACTGTCGCTGCTGTGGCTGCGACTGCGCCCTCTGCCTTCCTTCCTTCCTTCTTTCGTTTGTTCAGTTCGTTGCAGTTCGCTTGTTCGGTTCAGTTCCACAGCCAGCAGCTTGGCCGCTCGGGAAAGAGAGGAGAGAGAGAGA